TTATTAAAGAAAAATATATTAAAAAGTCCAAACTTTGTAGGTCTTCTAGGCAATTCTATGGAAGAACCAGTATACATCCTTAATGCAATAATGGAAAATGCAAGAGATAACAGAAAAGAGCTGTGGATCATACTCCAAGACATGAAAAAGGTATTTAATTCAGTATTACTCGAAGCTCTACGGAAGGTACTAAAAAGAATCAAATTGCTAGAAGTCACAATTAAACTTGTGTTGAATTTGTTTGTGAATAGACAATTCAAAATTATTACAGATTTGGGTTCAACAAATTTCTTCGAGATTCAAGAAGGGATAGAACAAGGGAAAGTAATTTCACCTTTAATCTGGAGGATATTCTATGATCCTTTTCTTGAAAGAATCCAAGGAGACACGAGTTTAGGTTATACTATAGACCACCAAAAGCACTCCAGCCTAAGGATAAACTACACAAATAGGTGTTCATGGAGACAAGCAGTAGTGGCATTTGCAAATGACACTACATGGATTGCAGAAAGCAAAAAGCAAATAGAGGAAATACTTGCAATCGCAGAAGAGTTCTTTAGAATAAATGACATACAAATTAATGGAAAGAAAACCAAGTTAATCATGATGAATATCGAAAACAAGTGTAAAGTCAAAAAGATCTTCTTTGGAAATGAATGGATTCAGAAAGAAAAGGAAATGAAGATTATAAGGTTTCTGGGAATCTGGCTGAATAGTAAGATAAAAGAGACAGCTATCAAGACCAAAGCGAAGGGGATTGTGCATTCAACAGCTAGAAGTCTTTTTATAAAAAAAATGACAATTAGTCAAGTGTCCTATATAAACAACATGTGTATAATTTCCAAGTTATGTTACATGTTGCAAACAACAAAATTAAGTAAGATAATGATTGACAATATATATAATCCAATAATCAGACTTGCAAAAAACAAGATCGAAATTGTAACATTAGCAAGAAACAGTATAATACACCACAAAAGCATGGGCAACTACAAATCACTGTGGAGTCAGCTCATACTTAAGCAGATCTCAAGCTTGAATAATTGCCTTAACTCAACTAGACCAGAAGAAGTTCTAACAAAACTAAGAATTGAGAAGGGTCTCTCTTTTGTTGGTGCCTCAGAAAACAATTGGCACAACGAAATTCTTGAGGCATATACTAAAATTTGGAAAAACAATTTAGTATGTTTAATGATGCTAAGAGCAAAAGATCTAAACCTCACTTTCAAGTTTAATTCACCTAAACTACCAGAATATGATCTAAAACGAAGAATCTGCAGTATACTGGGGTCTCTTTTCTCTGCTTCAGTAGCTCACTGTTTGAGAAAGTTAGAGCTAGCATATATTGACCAACTATTGAACCAAAGGGGAGACCAAATAATAACATGGCAACAACTCAAGTTTCTTAGAAAGGGGACAAGCAAAGGCAGAGTTGCAAAATGGTTCAGAAAGGTGGAAGAATTATTATTAAAAGATTCACAAAGAAGACAAGTTAAAGCACAATACAAAACTGAAAACAACAATAAGTGGGCTTTAAAAGCTCATTTAGCAAGATTATCTTCAAATAACAGAACTAAAGAATGGGTAGTAGTTAATGTAGCATTGGACTCAGAAAGTCCAGAACCGATAATAGCGAAGGTAGTTTTAAGAACTCCTAAGAAGATATTAGTAGAACATTGGAAGATGATTGATGATAACAATATAGGTAACTTTGTATTTGAGAAGTGTTTTAGCTGTATACTTAACCAAAACAAGGCATTTAAAGGATGCGAAAAGCTTCTTTATGAGAAAGAAATTCAAGGATCTCTTTCAGTCTTTGTTAAGAAGAGGAAAAACAAATGGAGATTAGAAATCCCACTAGATGCAATTGAGCTTCATCATAGTGGAAAAAAAGTAAAAATCACAAGAGAAGAAGCACTGATTTCGAGTATTGTAAGCTATAGTTTGGATATAGAGATGATCTGACAACAAGATATATCTCCAAAGCTTAAAGATAACCTAGTGGAATGGAACCAAATTAACTCTTCACTCATACATGATAAAGTAATCTTTTACACAGATGGTTCATTATTTTCAGTCAAGAACAAGACAGAAGGCCCTGATCATATGGGAATAGAAATATTGCAAACAAATCAAAACGAGCAGAAAGTAATTAGAGAAGGTTTTGCAAAGATCCAAAACTGGCTTTCATCAACCAAACCAGAATTGTTAACAATCTGGCTAGCTATACTAGTAACACCAAGCAAAAAAGAAGCTAAGATTTATATAGATAGTGCAGTAGCAATTGCAGGAATAGAAAAAGGGAAAAATATTTTAACAAACAAACATTGGTTAAAGCTAAAGAATCATTATTTAATACGTAGTATTGTAGAATTAGTTAAAGTTAAAGAGATTCAATTAGAATTAGTTAAGGTGAAGGGTCATAGTAATAATAGATGGAACGATAGAGCAGATAGTTTAGCTAAAGAAGGTGCTGCGGTAGATAATATAGATAGCATTATTTTTAACTCCCCATTGAAATCTAATGTTTTACTATTCTGTGATGAGATAGTTATCAAGCATTTAGCAAAAGAAATAACCAAAACACTTCTCAACTTTAGAATAGGTGCAGATTGGAAAGAATCGAAAGCAATTCAAAAAATTGAGCCAGAAGAGGATTACAAAAGAAACAATTGGACCTTTTTTTGGAAAAAGATCAAGAAAAGCAATGGAATTAGATGCACAACAATGAAAAAAGGCAAGTGCCTTGGAACCTTGTTCAAGTGTGCTAACGAGATGCTTCCAGTACTTAGAACATTATCACGAAGACGCCCAGACTTATATCAAGATTCCAATTGCATTATATGCAAAGAAGAAGAAGAAGAAGACCAAGATCATTTAGTATGCTGCAAGGAACAAGAAAGTAATTGGAAATCTGCTAAAAACTTTGTAGCGAATATAGCTTGGGCAGCTCTTTCTAAAAGAAGAATTGACAAAGATCTTTTAGAAAGAGTACTCTGGGGAAAATCGAAAGAAGAATCCTTCATAGCAGAAGCCAAGGCAATAAAAGGTTTAGTTCAAGAAGATACAATAGAAAAAATACAGGAGTTTCTACAATCAAATAAAGAGACCAAGACATATATTGAGCTTGCTTTAGATACAATATGGAATTGCTTTCACAAAAATATTTAGAAGAGTAGATGCGAACTTCTCTGAAAATGGGAAATCAGCAAAGGTATCCTAACTAGAGACAAAAAACGAAAAATTAAGTTACTAGCAGAAGGAAGAGAAATTGAACCAGAATTTGGTGAATCAAGATCCAAAGATGGGGTTTTAAATAGAACAAATAGAAAACTTAAAAATGAGGAGGGTTTAAAAAATATAGAAAATCGATAGTATAATAGTTTTAAAGATCTAATTCAAAACAGCTGCAAGCCCTTTTGGTATAGCTTGCACAGCTAACCTGGTATTAGCCTTCTGGCCTTGAAAAAATTTTCAAACCAGTGTGGCAGACCGCTTCTGGGCACCCATAAGGTAGCTGGAGGATGTTGGGCCTAAATATTAAGCTCAACATTATGTAATAGTTTTATATAATAATCTTAATAAAGGATCACTAGCAAGGTTGCCAAAGATTAAAAAAAAAAAAAAAAAAAAAAATATAAGAGAATTATTTCAAAAAGGATTTAAGTATTTTGAAACTGATAATCATGTATTAAAGATTTAAAATCAACATTTTAAGATTCAAATTGATTTAATTAAGAATTATAAACTCAATATATTAAAGATATGCAATATTCTAAAGTTATATATATATAATTTTTAACCCTTAGTATAGATTAAAATGCACTTTAGTTTATAGTTTATTTTTTGTCAGATTGTTTTATATATAGATTTTTATAACTATATAGATAGTTTTTATCTGGTTAGTAGGTTTTTATATTTGTAAACAAGTTCTTATAGATTTTAAAATAGTTTTTAGATTTCTTGTAATTTGATTGTTTTCTTTGTTTATTTGTTTTTACTTCTTTTATTTTATCTATATCTTTTTTTTTCTTTTTACTTTTATACAAGAAAATATTATCAAATTGATGGCACTCTATTGTAGAGCAGTAATTCTAACAAGGTTGATGAAAACTATCTGTTGATAGCTGGAGTTCATATTCTCAAAAAGTTGAAGATTCCAGAAGAAAAAAAATATTTACTTAGACAGGTTTCTCCTAGGTTATACTCTAGTGTAAAATTTAATGCTTGCTTTATTTTTTACTGTAATAATGAAACAAACCAAGAGAATTTTTATTTGTACAGAAATGTAGTAGTTAATGAATTTGTATATAAGTTTTAGCTAACTAAGAACATATTTGTAAATTTCTTCTGTTTAATAAAATAAAGATAGAATCGCTAAAGTAAAAAAAATAAAAAAATAAATAAGCTTCAAACTCAAATTTATTATTTAAGACCTAAAACAAAAGATGCAAAGGTTAGTACATATTACAGGTGACCCTCATTAATATCAACCTATTTGAATTGGTTTTAAATTATGTTGATAATGATATTAATGAGAAATCCTAATATATAAAAATTTATAAAAATTTGTCTTGTGGCTTAGGTTGACATTAACGAGGTTAATATTAACCTGTATATCTAATCTTGTAATTTTATTAATTAATTAAAATAAAACAAAATACATAAACACGGTTTAGTTCTTTTAAAAAATTTTATTATAAAACTTTAAGTTTTTTTAAAACCTTAGATACTTCTAAAACTAAAAATTTTTTTACTCTAGTGCAAGTTTTAATTTTTATATATATTATAACAAATGCAACAATTAAGTTATTTTTTATCAGATAAAAATTTAAATATGAACCATACAAACGTGATCAAGAAATCAGTATAATAGTAACAGGTTCGTACGATAAATGGCTTTATCTTTGATATCTTTGTATCACCAGAGATAAAATTTCAATTAATAAATACGAACTAATTTTTTTAGATAAATTACAACAACGATAATGATATTAACACTATCTTAACCCTAACAATCTCCATTTTTGAACATCGCTAAGAGCCTTTTGTCCAGTAATAAATGCTACAATACTTAGCCCAGTCAGCCATGACAAAGTTTGAAAAATATTTAAATGCGTCCAATAATTATAAAATAAAACTTCAATGGCTAATATTGAACTCAAAAAAAGTAAAGACATTAAAGTAGATCCAGGTGCTCTAGCAAGTAAAGAAACATTCACACCAATGTACGTCCACTTTTATTATAATATTATAATAAATAGTTTCTAGTTAGAATCACGAAATCAAAAACGTAAAATAAAATGAATAAAAAAATACGTACGGCACCGATTAAGAATAACCATGGCATTAATATTATTGCCACAAAACTATATGAAAGCCAAATTGGTGGTAATTTCTCGTCAGGTCTGAAAATATGGTTAATTTCTGGCTTCGGTCCATAAACAACTGTGGAAGGTTCAGACGAGATTACAGGTACATCGACATCAAGAGTACCAATGTGATATTTAAGTGGATCATTATGAGAAAAAGTTCCGATTATTAAGTCAAGAGAATAATTTCCGGGCGATGAAAGAAGTTCATTAGGAGCCGATTTCATATCCTTCATAAATAATGAGCATAACGAATCAATTAATAGTCTTTACAATGTATTTCAAACTATGAAACTTTATGTTAATAGATCCTACCAATTCAACCTTTGACTTTCCGTTTTCCCTTACTCGTACAATAATGGGTATTTGATTGCCACTTTTTTCAGAAGTTAATGTCAAAAAAGCTTGATGTGGTTGGACTCCTTTTTGTGTTTGCTTGTCATTAATGATAAATATCATTTTAAAATCATCTCCTGTAGTTAATTGAATCGGCTTATCAAAAGAAGATGGATAAGGGATGCTAATAATACAAGATATTGTTTATATAAATAAAAATTTGATCATTGATATCCTTTTTTACAGCTTTTTTACCTTTCATAAAATTTTCTAACAGATTCGGACGAAGTTATAGCAATTTTCATGTCGCTTATAACAAAACAATCGACTTGTACTAAAACTACACTCAACAGAACTAATAAAAACGTTTGCCATGATAAGGCAATATTTATTAGAGAGCGTATCATTTTTGTTTTTAAAATATGAAAGATGGTGAAAGACAGAAATTTATAGATGCCAAATTTTATATTTAACCAATAAAAGTATCCCACATTTACTGTTTCGCTAATTCAATATATTGATCTACATACCGCATACATTATATTTTTTAAATTTACCAAAAAACGCATCTTCAGTTAGATTCCCAAAGATGTTATTGGCGGAAGGATCGACCAAAATTAGGGTCGGAATAGGCCGGAGTTGATAAATTTATTTCTAAATCACCCAAAATTTTACTAATAAATAGTAGCCTCGTACTAAGTAAAGGTGCCCGGATGATAATTTTGCATCTTTACGTCAAAAGCGGAGGCAAATCATGTGATAACCCACCAATCAAATTATAGAATTTTGATGATCGCCGGCGAAGCAAACCAAAAAATAAAAACCAAAACCCCGAAAAATACAAAAAACGGCAGTCTAAACCTACCTCGGGTAGGTTAATCAAAATGTCGGGAAGGCAATTTTACTTACAAAAAACTACCTAAACCAATCCTACCCCAATATCAGTCAGCCGAGATGTCGGAGAGTTTATATGTTAGATTTGCATACTTATTGATCAAATTAATAGACGTACCT